GACGTTCATCGGCAATACCTACCCACACGTTTAAAGTTAAACGATGTAGGAAGTGTGTCTGGACCACCGCGTGAGGTCTTTCAAAGGACCAAACGTGTGTATTACTCGTAATAAGATTGGTTATCCCATAACGAGTAAAAATAGCTTCATGGGTGGCCAAAATATCAGCTGTAAAACGAGTATCTCGAGCATTTTCTTGCAACACCCACTCATAAAATCTTACTCTTAGCAACCGTGTCTTTTTTTTGACAATACATGCATTCATCGCTGTCTGATTTCTGTATTCTCTTCGTGAATACTCGAAAAGTACCATGCTGCGTCAGTGCCTGCGTTAAGTGGTAATCCAGTCGTCTGTGCTTGCAAGCAATCCACTTCCCGATGTCAGGTATTAGCTTTTTTGTCCACTGAGCCACGTCCTCCGTTAAGTGCCACTCGTCCTGCCATTTACTGATGGTGACCTCGCGCTCCTCCCTTGTGACCCTCGCGGTTCTCCCATCTTTCTGGCGTTGCAGCCTCACTCTTTCTTCCACAAGCAAGTGGATCGGTGCTATCCCTGTAATAATCTGTAAGGCCTTCGTGGAGACGGTCTTGTAAGCACTCGCCACCCTCAGCAGCATCTTCCTTTGCACTCTGGTGAACATGTGCCTGTATCTAGTAGTGCTCATTATGTCATGCCAGATTGGGGCGCCGTAAAGTAATGTTGAAAGCACCACGCTGTTTATAACATCCCTCTTGTTGCTGGTAGGTCCGCCGATGTTTGTCATAATTCTTGCTAACGATGCTGCTTTTTTGTTTGCTTTTGCTGCCGTTGCCCGAATATGATCCCGAAAGTGGCCTCCTTCTTCTAAGTGAATTCCTAGGTACTTAACAGACATCTTTGGTGTTACGGAAGTTCCCCTGCAGTTAAAAGTAATACCAGCTTTGCTCCGCTTCCCCTTTGTGATGACAGCTTCTGTTTTCTGCGGTGCGAGTTCCAGGTGATAGGCCGTCATTACACCATGTGGCCATTTACTCCTCAGTACTCCATCGTAGGCCAAATTCCATAGAGTAGGGCCCAAGACTGAGCCCTGCTGTACACCGGATGTTATATCTAAGGTCTCTTCTTTGGCTATCTGAAGTGACCTTCCACTGAGGTAGGCACCTATGAGAGTTCGGAGGTATGGTGATATTTTCCTTGTTTTCAGCCCCTCCATTATGTTTTCCTACGGTATCGAGTTTTTGACGTCGACTGTGATGAGAACGCCCCAAAAGAAAAACTAACCTAACTAACCTAACCTAACTAACCTAACTAACCTAACCTAACTAACCTAACCTAACTAACCTAACCTAACTAACCTAACCTAACTAACCTAACCTAACTACCTAACCTAACTAACCTAACCTAACTAACCTAACCTAACTAACCTAACCTAACTAACCTAACCTAACTAACCTAACCTAACTAACCTAACCTAACCTAACCTAACTAACCTAACCTAACTAACCTAACCTAACTAACCTAACCTAACTAACCTAACCTAACTAACCTAACTAACCAACTAACCTAACTAACCTAACTAACCTAACCTAACTAACCTAACCTAACTAACCTAACCTAACTAACCTAACCTAACTAACCTAACCCACTAACCTACTAACCTAACCTAACTAACCTAACCTAACTAACCTAACCTAACTAACCTAACCTAACTTACCTAACCTAACTAACCTAACCTAACTAACCTAACCTAACTAACCTAACCTAACTAACCTAACCTAACTAACCTAACCTAACTAACCTAACCTACTAACTAACCTTTTTTTTTTTTTTTTTTCTTGGGGGAAATCACCAAGAGATACCTGAGACCGGATATCTAGTATCCGCATTCAGGTTATGCCACCTGGGCTAAAACCCCCTCCCCCACCCTCATGCTGGGATTCGCCTGCGCTTACTACCAGCATGACTGTGTCTCACACATGTCTTCGTTTCCTCAGCGGTTTCTGCAGTAAAATTTCCATGTATATGTCCTAGGAGTTTGGGCTGTCCGTTCTTCTTTCATCCTTGTCTTTAATTGATAGTATTTCCCTGATGAATCTTTGTATTTGTATCCACGATTGTTTGTTCGCCATCATGGTGCTGGTCAGATTACTCTCCGTCAGAGCGTGTCCTAGACTAACAACGACTTGTGCCCTTTGTCGCTCCCATCTGTTGCACTCGAAGAGAGTGTGTGCAACTGTGTCTTTTTCTTGACAGTACATGCATTCATCGCTGTCTGATTTCTGTATTCTCTTCGTGAATACTCGAAAAGTACCATGCTGCGTTAGTGCCTGCGTTAGGTGGTAGTCCAGTCGCCTGTGCTTGCAAGCAATCCACTTCCCGATGTCAGGTATTATTTTTTTTGTCCACTGAGCCACGTCCTCCGTTAAGTGCCACTCGTCCTGCCATTTACTGATGGTGACCTCGCGCTCCTCCCTTCTGGCCCTCGCGGTTCTCCCATCTTCCCGGCGGTGCAGTCTCACTCTTTCTTCCACAAGCAAGTGGATCGGTGCTATCCCTGTAATAATCTGTAAGGCCTTCGTGGAGACCGTCTTGTAAGCACTCGCCACCCTCAGCAGCATCTTCCTTTGCACTCCGTTGAACATTTGCCTGTATCTAGTAGTGCTCATAATGTCGTGCCAGATTGGGGCGCCGTAAAGTAATGTTGAAAGCACCACGCTATTTATAACCTCCCTCTTGTTGCTGGTAGGTCCGCCGATGTTTGGCATAATTCTTGCTAACGATGCTGCTTTTTTGTCTGCTTTTGCTGCCGTTGCCCGAATATGCTCCCGAAAGTGGCCTCCTTCTTCTAAGTGAATTCCTAGGTACTTAACAGACTTCTTTGGTGTTACGGAAGTTCCTCTGCAGTTAAAAGTAATACCTGCTTTTCTCCGCTTCCCCTTTATGATGACAGCTTCTGTCTTCTCCGGTGCGAGTTCGAGGTGATGGGCCGTCATCCAGTTGTCCACTATCCTCAGGGCTAAATTTGCCGCATGCATAAGGGCCTCCTCATCCTGCGCTAGCACTATCACTGCCAAGTCGTCCGCGAACGCAGCGGCTTATACTCCATGTGGCCATTTACTCCTCAGTACCCCATCGTAGACCAAATTCCATAGAGTAGGGCCCAAGACTGAGCCCTGCGGTACCCCGGATGTTATGTCTAAGGTCTCTTCTTTGGCTATCTGGAGTGACCTTCCACTGAGGTAGGCACCTACGAGATTTCGGAGGTATGGTGGTATTTCCCTTGTTTTCAGCTCCTCCATTATGTTTTGCCACGGTAGCGAGTTGAAAGCGTTTTTGACGTCGACTGTGATGAGAACGCCCCTGTTTCCCTGCTGCCCTTAATGGTTTTAAGGACTGCGTCCACTGCCATCAACGTATTTCTACCTTTTCTGAAACCATACTGGAACTCTGATAGGCCACCCTTGTAATCGATTTCCTTCTGTAGCCTAGCAAGTATCAATAACTCATATAGCTTGCTAATTGTCAAGAGCAAGCAAATGGGTCTGTATTTGTCTTTTCCTTTCGGTATCAGTAAGAGTTTGGCCCGTTTCCAAGATTCCGGAAAGCTCTGTGTGGTGAGAAGGTTGTTTAAAAAGCCCAATACCCAGTTTGGTGACAGTTTCGAAGCCTCTTTAATTGCTTCTGGGGGTATACCATCAAGACCAGGGGCTCTACCCATTTTGAGTTTTTCTATGGCTTGTTCGAATTCCTCTTCCGTGAACATGTCTACGTTGTTGACCGTTTCTGTACTGTAGCTCCTAACTGCGTGTGGTGGGAACAGTTCTTCTGCTATCTCCTTCTTTCGTTCTTTTGTCATGCTATAGGGCGCGAAACATCGGAATTATTTCATGACAATCCGATATCCGTCTCCCCATACGTCCTCGTTAATTCTGTCACAAAGTTCGTTCCAGTGTTTTTTCTTGGACTCTTTGATCATTTGCTGAAGCATTTTTTGTGGCTTTTATACAAGGAGCTAGCTTCTTCGATGATCGCTTCCGGATGTCTGTGCCTGTGTTTGACGAGCCTCATGATGGTTCTACGTGCCTTGTGACACTTCTGTCTCTGTTGAGAGATATCGTTGCTCCACCAGTAGGGCATTCCGCTATGATTGTTATTAGTTGTGAGGCTAGCATGGTAAGCTTCTTTAATGGTGGCAGTAAAGTTTTCCTCTGTATGCGGCTTTTCTGGGTATTCTACTAGCTTGGACGAGAGTACCTGTCTAAAGACTTCCCAGTTACAAGTCTTGGTCGAGCCCCAGGATTGAGCTATTTTACTGCTTAGCTGCTTATCTACCTCAAAGTATATATACTTGTGGTCCGTCATGCTATCCTCATCGAGGACGCTCCATTTCTTCATGTTTGCTGCGATCTTCTGTGTCGAACATGTGACATCTATATAGGATTCTGTGCTACCTCTAACAAAAGTGGGGTTATCTCCGGTGTTATGCACAACCATGTTTGCAGCAGCAAGGCATTCAGAAAAGTACGTTCCTCTACTATCTGTGAATGGGGACCCCCACTCGACGCTCTTTGCGTTTATGTCTCCCAAGAGCACGCATTCCCTTCTTGATGTGACAATTTCAGATATTATCTTGTCAACCAGATCCTGAAACTCATTTATCGGAATGTTTGGAGATATGTAGCAACAGTATAAGGTGCAAAACTCGAGGTGTAGGCCCAAAAAAACCGTCGTAGTACTTTATATCTTTAACCGTCACTTCCCTATTTCTAAAGTACACTGCTACGTCCCCTCTTTTGTCGCTGATCCATTTTTGAGCTTTTATGATGGTCTTATTGGGTTCCCCCACTATCAGTAGGTCTATGTTATACTCGGCTACCGTGGCAAAGGCTATATCGTGGGCTGCTGTTTCTCTGCCTAAGTTCGTTTGCAGTATTCTCAGGCTTTTCCGTAGGATTTCGTTTAAACCTGTTTGTAGCATTACCTTCGACAGTCCGTGGCATTTTTTTTTCTTTACTTTACTTTACTTGCGGAAGCTGCCTCTCCTCTTTGCTTTATCCTCCACCATCCTCCTATACTTAGGACATCTGGTTGAGTCGGAGCGGTGACCGGCTTCTTGACAGGAAGAACAAAAAGGGTCCGTTTGGCAGTCTTTCGCTTTATGACCCATTTTTCCGCAGCTCAGACATTCTCCCGATCTATCCCTGCCTGTGCATCCATTTTGTGTGTGTCCGAATTCCAAGCATCTGTAACATCTGGTTACAGCTATTCTCTCACGGACTCTGCATGCCACCCAGCCTATCATCAGCTTGCCTCTGTTGCTTAGGACTTTCGCCAGATGCTTTGATAACCTGACAGTTGCAATTCTATTTCCATCTCTGGTGGGCCTCATATTCAACACCTTCACTGGTGCTGCTCTGTCTACTTGGGTTGCCTCGTAAATTGCTTCCTCGATCTCCTCCTCGGTGACTGTAGGGTCTATATCGCTGATGTGTACAGTGGCATCGTTATTGGCTAGCGAGACACCTACATCCTTGAGCTGGGCGGCAATTTCTTTTTTAAGGGAGTCTGCCTTCTCACCACCCCCTTCCACGTTCAGCAATAGGTCTCCTCTTGCGGTCTCTCTTATGTTCCTGACTTTGACACCGATTTTCCCTAAATCGATATTCTGCTTCACTGTCTTTAGGAGATCGGCGTACTGCCGGCCCCCTTTCTTAACGATCACCGCTTGAGATTGGGCTTGTGTTTTACTTGGCCAGGGTCTGCTGTGCTCTCGGTCTTTTCCTCTGGCTGTCATCAGCTTTACCTCGATGTCCGCTTTGTAAACACGTACTCTAGGATCTTCCTCACGTATGATTTGTTTATCCCATCATCCGGTATAAAGGTGATCTTTTTCCGACCATGAGTCTGCACCGTTCTCTTGCTATCTTCTACGAGTTTATGTACCTCCTTCATGTTGTTTACTCCATTTTTGTCTATATCGATAGGTAGGATGTAAACAAGTTGGCTTTTCTCTTCGTCTTTGTTCCTGAAGTTTATCTTTGTGGTCTTCTCGAAGTACTCTAACTGGCCTTCTGTTACACCGCCTTTCATGATCTCGCTTATTTCCGGGTGCCTTCCGCTTATTTCCTTTAGTAGTCCTTTCATATTCGCCGGTTTGGCGTCCGCGATTATTGCTGTGACATCTTCTACGGGTATGTCTGGTGGAGCTCCATGAATATGTTTGACGGCCCTGTAGGCTCGTTCTGGCCATTTCCTGTCTAGCAATTTCGCAAATTGTTCAAAGTTTTGGCTCTTATCTAAGATGTCTATTATTTCTTTGCTCTCTTTAGACTCTCTTTCTTCCATTTCCGCCTTTACATCCGCGAAATTTACTTGCACCCCAACGCTTGTTGTGCTTTTTGGGCTCTCTTCCTTTCTCGGTGCCTTCCGGTCTCTCTCGGTACTTTCTTGGTCAATCTTTAGATTTAGTGACTCCATTATCTGGTTCAGCCTCATAATCTCCTTCTTGATATCTCCCTGCGTGTTTGGAGTAGTCTTTATGAGCTCTCTTAACGTAGAGGCGGTTTTCGTCACCTTCTCTATAAGCTTTTTCATTTCCTCACCATTGTCTTCTTCGCTTCTACGTCGTTTTCCTGATTGGGAAGGTGCTCTACGCCTGAGTACTTCTTCAGTTGCATTTGACGTCCCTTGGTTGCTCTCTTCTGTGCCTCTCTGTTGGCTATGTATATCAGACCACGAAGATGATCTGTTCCTGCCAGGCGGTGACCTTTTCATTTTGTCTCTTCTTTTGAAAGGGTCAACCTCCTCTCGATCCTGTCTTTCATATTGTGTTTTTTGAAGTTTATCCATCTTGTTCCCACGAGTAGCTAGGGAAGAAATCTGTCCGCTACCACAGAGCCCCGCATGTGGCAGTAAGGCTATTTTCCCTGGCGGGTCGCCTAGTCCACCAGGCATCGCTTAGAACACACTTCTCTCCCTGTGCCATGCAGCCCCTCGGCACGATGGTGTTACACCTTGGACTTGGGAGGATTTTTTTCCAGGGTTTACTCCCTTAGAGCTTCCGTTTCAAAGCCATGTCATCATCAAGTCATAGAGAGTCCATGTCATCGCCCTGTCGTCATATCCGTTCTAGTGTGTCGTCCTTCCATTATTCCAAAAAACGTTTCGTGGTCCACGGCCAGGTCGTCTTATGAATTCTTCGGGTCAGTATCCCTAGACCGGCTGCCTTCACCGCGGCTTTGGGAGTCCGGTCTACCCCTTGGCCCTGGGTGTGGGTTCTCGCAACCGGGGTTGGTCACCCGATCTTGGTCATCCAAGAACCCAGGGGTCCCAGCGTTAGCACCTATCCGGGGTGCACGGGGGCATGCTTCGGTGCGCCACGGGGGACGGCCACGGACGCGAGCGGCGCCACACCCCAACCAACCGAACGAACCTACCGAACTCTCCGAACCTAACGAACCGAACCGAACGAACCTAACCAACTAACCGAACCTAACGAACCGAACCGAACGAACCGAACCGAACGAAACAACCGAACGAACCGAACCTAACGAACCTAACCGAACGAACCGAACCGAACCTAACCGAACGAACCGAACCGAACTAACCGAACCTAACAACCTAACCGAACGAACCGAACCGAACTAACCGAACCGAACTAACCTAACCTAACTAACCGAACCGAACGAACCTAACCTAACTAACCTAACCTAACTAACCTAACCTAACTAACCTAAACCTAACTAACCTAACCTAACTAACCTAACTAACTAACCTAACCTAACTAACCTAACTAACTAACCTAACCTAACTAACCTAACCTAACTAACTAACCTAACTAACCTAACCTAACTAACCTAACCTAACTAACCTAACCTAACTAACCTAACCTAACTAACCTAACCTAACTAACCTAACCTAACTAACCTAACCTAACTAACCTAACCTAACTAACCTAACCTAACTAACCTAACCTAACTAACCTAACCTAACCTAACCTAACTCTAACCTAACTAACCTAACTAACCTAACCTAACTAACCTAACCTAACTAACCTAACCTAACTAACCTAACCTAACTAACCTAACCTAACTAACCTAACCTAACTTTTTTTTTTTTCTTGGGGGAAATCACCAAGAGATACCTGAGACCGGATATCTAGTATCCGCATTCAGGTTATGCCACCTGGGCTAAAACCCCCTCCCCCACCCTCATGCTGGGATTCGCCTGCGCTTACTACCAGCATGACTGTGTCTCACACATGTCTTCGTTTCCTCAGCGGTATCTGCAGTAAAATTTCCATGTATATGTCCTAGGAGTTTGGGCTGTCCGTTCTTCTTTCATCCTTGTCTTTAATTGATAGTATTTCCCTGACGAATCTTTGTATTTGTATCCACGATTGTTTGTTCGCCATCATGGTGCTGGTCAGATTACTCTCCGTCAGAGCGTGTCCTAGACTAACAACGACTTGTGCCCTTTGTCGCTCCCATCTGTTGCACTCGAAGAGAGTGTGTGCAACTGCGTCTTTTTCTTGACAGTACATGCATTCATCGCTGTCTGATTTCTGTATTCTCTTCGTGAATACTCGAAAAGTACCATGCTGCGTTAGTGCCTGCGTTAGGTGGTAGTCCAGTCGCCTGTGCTTGCAAGCAATCCACTTCCCGATGTCAGGTATTATTTTTTTTGTCCACTGAGCCACGTCCTCCGTTAAGTGCCACTCGTCCTGCCATTTACTGATGGTGACCTCGCGCTCCTCCCTTCTGGCCCTCGCGGTTCTCCCATCTTCCCGGCGGTGCAGTCTCACTCTTTCTTCCACAAGCAAGTGGATCGGTGCTATCCCTGTAATAATCTGTAAGGCCTTCGTGGAGACCGTCTTGTAAGCACTCGCCACCCTCAGCAGCATCTTCCTTTGCACTCCGTTGAACATTTGCCTGTATCTAGTAGTGCTCATAATGTCGTGCCAGATTGGGGCGCCGTAAAGTAATGTTGAAAGCACCACGCTATTTATAACCTCCCTCTTGTTGCTGGTAGGTCCGCCGATGTTTGGCATAATTCTTGCTAACGATGCTGCTTTTTTGTCTGCTTTTGCTGCCGTTGCCCGAATATGCTCCCGAAAGTGGCCTCCTTCTTCTAAGTGAATTCCTAGGTACTTAACAGACTTCTTTGGTGTTACGGAAGTTCCTCTGCAGTTAAAAGTAATACCTGCTTTTCTCCGCTTCCCCTTTATGATGACAGCTTCTGTCTTCTCCGGTGCGAGTTCGAGGTGATGGGCTGTCATCCAGTTGTCCACTATCCTCAGGGCTAAATTTGCCGCATGCATGAGGGCCTCTTCATCCTGCGCTAGCACTATCACTGCCAAGTCGTCCGCGAACGCAGCGGCTTTTACACCATGTGGCCATTTACTCCTCAGTACCCCATCGTAAACCAAATTCCATAGAGTAGGGCCCAAGACTGAGCCCTGCGGTACCCCGGATGTTATGTCTAAGGTCTCTTCTTTGGCTATCTGGAGTGACCTTCCACTGAGGTAGGCACCTACGAGATTTCGGAGGTATGGTGGTATTTTCCTTGTTCTCAGCTCCTCCATTATGTTTTGCCACGGTAGCGAGTTGAAAGCGTTTTTGACATCGACTGTGATGAGAACGCCCCATGTTTCCCTGCTGCCCTTAATGGTTTTAAGGACTGCGTCCACTGCCATCAACGTATTTCTACCTTTTCTGAAACCATACTGGAACTCTGATAGGCCACCCTTGTAATCGATTTCCTTCTGTAGCCTAGCAAGTATCAATAACTCATATAGCTTGCTAATTGTCAAGAGCAAGCAAATGGGTCTGTATTTGTCTTTTCCTTTCGGTATCAGTAAGAGTTTGGCCCGTTTCCAAGATTCCGGAAAGCTCTGTGTGGTGAGAAGGTTGTTTAAAAAGCCCAATACCCAGGTTGGTGACAGTTTCGAAGCCTCTTTAATTGCTTCTGGGGGTATACCATCAAGACCAGGGGCTCTACCCATTTTGAGTTTTTCTATGGCTTGTTCGAATTCCTCTTCCGTGAACATGTCTACGTTGTTGACCGTTTCTGTGCTGTAGCTCCTAACTGCGTGTGGTGGGAACAGTTCTTCTGCTATCTCCTTCTTTCGTTCTTTTGTCATGCTATAGGGCGCGAAACATCGGAATTTTTTCATGACAAACCGATATCCGTCTCCCCATACGTCCTCGTTAATGCTGTCACAAATTTCGTTCCAGTGTTTTTCTTGGACTCGGTGATCATTTGCTGAAGCATTTTTTTGTGGCTTTTATACAAGGAGCGAGAGGCTGCGAGGAGCGCGGCCGGAGGGCGGGGCCGAACGAACGAACCGAACCGACAACCGAACCTAACGAACCGAACCGAACGAACCGAACCGAACGAACCTAACCGAACTAACCTAACCGAACGAACTAACCGAACGAACCGAACCTTAACGAACCTAACCGAACGAAACCGCCCGAACAAACCGAACCTAACGAGCCGAACCGAACGAACCGAACCGAACTGACCGAACCGAACTAAACCTAACCGAACTAACCGAACCGAACGAACCTAACCGAACGAACCGAACGAACGAACCGAACTAACCGAACGAACCGAACCGAACGAACCGAACCTAATAACCGAACCTAACTAACCTAACCGAACTGAACCTAACCTAACGAAACCTAAACCTAAAACCTAACCTAACTAATCTAACCTAACTAACCTAACCGACTAACCTAACTAACTAACCTAACTACCTAACCTAACTAACCTAACCTAACTAACCTAACC